GTGTGTGTGTGTGTGTGTGTGAGAGAGAGAGAGAGAGAGAGAGAGAGAGAGAGAGATGGCTCATAGTGTGTGCAGAATGTTAATGTATTGTGGCCCGATGCCCCACTATTCTCCAGGGGGCAGACCATTTTTCACACACCCACACCACACATTTACATTATTGTAATTGTGTAAATATGTCATGCTGTGTGTGTGTATGTATATATATATATATATATATATATATATATATATATATATATATATATATATATATATATATATATATATATATATCGCTGTTGTCAAAAGAAGACCTCATATCTCCAAAATGGTAACTTTACAAGAGAAGGAAAAAACCTACTTTACTTTTAATGTAAGTCACTGGAACCAGACTTTTTTCCAAGTAATTTTGGGTCATTTCTTTTAGTCCATTCATCATGAAATTTACACACAATTTAAAGACCAACAGGCTTTTTGAAATTATGACAAAAACTGTCAAAAATGGAAATACGAGGTTTTCTTCTAACAACAGCGAGATATATAAATATATACCAGATTTTTTTTCAGGAGACCTGCTTTCAATTTCTCAAAGAAACCTACAGAGATATTTTTCCACACCTTCGAAGTTCAGTATTAGAAGTTGGTTACATTTTCTGTTTCCCAATATCCAAGTAGCCCCAAACACATTCAGTGATGTTGAGGTCTGGACTCTGGGATCTCTGGTCAGTCAATTGTTCTGAGAACACCAGCAGCTTCTTTGGCTCACATTTTTTTTCTTTTCTTGTCTTAGGCTTTGTTCACACAGCAGGTAAAAGTGACCCAAATCCGATCTTTTTCTTCATTCATTTGAGATGCTTTCATATGTGGTACTGAAATCCTCTACATATCTGATCTGCAGCAATGCAGCTCAGTCTGAACAGCCAGATCGGAATTCATGTGAGTTTTATGTCAATCATAATTTCACGCTGTTGAGAGTCATAAACTTTAAGGCTGATGTTTCTGTACAAAAAAATAAAACTGTAGCATCAAAGAATGATTAAAAGCCTGAAAGCAAAGTTTAAAGAATCCGAGGACACAAATCAAAGAAGTGACCGTGCCCTTTTTATGGCAAGCTCGAGCGCTTTCTGGGGTCAGTCAATGAAGCCTCATGATGGCTCCTGTGATGCTGGCGAAGATGAAACTGAACCCTCCGGGAGTGACTGGTGTTCGCTGGCAGTTGTGATTGTTTACCTCTGGATGAGCCACGTGAATCAACGTGAAGCACTGTTCTTTTATGCATGCGGGTCAGTTTAGGAGCTGATCTGTTCAGACTGATGTCGCATACAGATCACATTTAAAAGATGATGTGAACAGCCAAACAAAAATATCAGATTTTTTGAGAAAATCAGATTTGGCTCACTTTTACCTGCTGTGTGAACGTAGCTTTTGTGACAGCTTAACGACAACTACACATCCTTTCAGACGCATAGCGTTCTCCCCATGGAAGGATTGGCAGAAACACTTGATTTTTTAAGCTTGATTTTCTCCTCTATATCAAAGATAAAGGCTGTTTATCTGACGGGGACAGATTTGTTGGCCTACCAGGTCCTTTCACAGTTGTTGAGAGTCCCGTTTCTCTGTATCTTTTAATCATTTTAACTCCAGTTTTAGAAACTCCCCTTTTTTACGTTTTTCTTTGGCTATCTCCTTGCGTTTGCGTTTACACATCTATATGTCTTATGTCTAATCGGATATAAGAAATATCTCCTGAATAATTGATAACCTGTACTTAATCACTGTTTTGACTGCAGATGAAATGAATGAAAGAGGTTGGTCTCAGACTTTTGCCCAGTACTGTATACATACTGACAATACAGTATATATGTACAGCACATTGTGCTGTTTCCTGTGTAGCTGCCTCTTCTGTACACAGAGCTGTTGCTCAGCAGATATGCAACCAGTGTGAGGTTATAGGGGGCAGCGAGGGGGTGTGTATGTGTGTGAGTGTGACTGCAGTGAACCAGATTACTGCTCATTCAGATTCAGAGCCCGTCTTCTCGTCGTGAGAGGCAAAGACACACGCGCGCGCACACACTGAGGGCTGGTCTAGGTGCATAGCTGGACTCCGTGTTATCATAGCCACTGCATCGCTAATCCGGCTGGACCTAAGCTGCATAGACAGGGCAGGACGAGAGACAGCAAGAGAGAGAAAAAGAGAGAGCTTGAGTAAAGGAGGGAGAGAGAGGGCTAGAAAGAGAGAGAGAGAGAGAGGGAGGGCGTGAGAGGTGTGGGGAGAGCTGAAAGGGAGAACGCAGAGCGATCGCAGGGGAGGCAGAGGGAGCGAGCGAGCAAGGGAGGGAGGGACTGCGATTGAGAGAGCAGTGAGAGCGAGCAATTGAGAAAGAAACAGAGGGAGGAGAGGAGCAAGCTACTGTAGCTGCTGGGATAACTGGGTGAGTTCAGCTTAAAAGACTAGGATGGTTCCAGTCATGGAATGATGGCACTGTATGTCTCTGAATGAATGCTGTAGTGATGATGATAATGACATGTTATATATATGAAATGTAATGTTTGAAAGAATGACAGTGTTGCATGTGTCATTGAATGAGTGCTGTGGGGAAACTGATGTTACATGGTGATGACATGTTACGTAGATTGACAGCATTGTATGTCAGTGAATGGGTCCTTTTGACCACATGTTATAGGGTAATAACATGTTATATAAAACATATAACGTTATACAGAATGACAGCACTATGTATATGATTATATGAATGCTGTAATGAAACCAATGTTATATGGTGATGACATGTCATATATAACATGGAATATGTAGGATGCCAGCACTGTAAGTCACTAAAAGAGTGCACTATGGAAACAAATGTGATATGTTTATGACATGTTATATGTAACACATAATGTAATATAGACTGGCAGCATTGTATGTAAGTGAATGAGTGCTTTATAACTGCATGTTATATGGTAATAACATGCTATATAACATGTAATGTTATATATGACATTGTATGTTTTATATAACGTTCTTACTGACAACAGTGTGTGTGTGATTGAATGAATGCTGTAATGAAACCAATGTTACATGGTGATGACATGTCATATATAATATGGAATATGTAGTATGAAAGCACTGTATGTCACTAAAAGAGTGCAGTATGGAAACAAATGTGATACGGTAATAACGTTATATGTAACATGTAATGTTACATAGAATGACAGCATTGTATGTGTAATTAAATTAATGCTGTCCTGTTATATGGTGATGACATCATATAACATAGTTTATGGAATGAGAGCATTTTATGTCATTGGATGAGTGCTTTAGGAAAACATGTTATATATATTATGTAACAAATAGAATGACAGTATTGTATGTCAATGAATGGGTCCTTTTAACCGCATGTTATATGGTAACAACATGTTATAAAACATGTTATATTACATAGAATGGCAGCACTGTGTTTGATTGAATGAATGCTGTAATAAAACCAATGTTATATGATGATGATGATGATGATATGTCATATATGGAGTATAAAGGATGACAGCACTGCATGTCACTAAAAGAGTGCTGCATGGAAGCAAATGTGATATGTTTATGACTTGTTATATGTAACATATAATGTTATATAGAATGACAGCATTGTATGTGTGATTAAATGAATGCTGTAATGGTGTGTGGTGGTGACATGTCATATATAATATGTAGTATATGGAATGCCAGCATTGCATGCTGTCAGTGAATGAGTACTTTATAGCCTAATGTTATATGGTGATTATATATTGGAAATAATATACAGTCTATAGAAATGGCAGCATTGTATGTCATTACATGAGTGCTATAGGAAAACTAATGTTATTTTGTGATGACATGTCATATATAATATGTAATATATAGACTGACAGTATGTGTCACTGAATGCGTGCTGTAGGGGGACAAATGATAATGGATATTATATGTAAATAACATGTAATATATCAAATGGCAGCATTGAATGTCATTGTATGAGAGCTGTAGGGAAACTAATATATTATATACTGGTGAAATTATTTATTTAATATGGTGATGACGTTATATGTTATAGCCTATGTAGTGTTGTACGTCAGAGGTCTTCAAATCTGGACCTTGAATCCAGTTTCTTGCCCTGGATTTTGCAATCAGGGACACAAGAGCGCTTTCTGTGCCTGTATGTGTATGTCTATGGGTGGGTGCATGTGTATGGGTGTGTGTATATGTATGGGTGTGTGTATGTGTATGAGTGTGTATGTGTATGTGTATGGGTGTGTATATGGGTGTGTATGTGTATGTGAATGGATATGTGTATATGTACGGGTGTGTGTATGTGTATGGGTTTGTGTATGTGTATGAGTGTGTATATGTATGGGTGTGTGTATGTGTATGGGTTTGTGTATGTGTATTAGTGTGTATATGTATGTATGTGTGTATGTGTATGGGTTTGTGTATGTGTATGAGTGTGTATGTGTATGTATATGTGTATGGGTGTGTGTATCTGTATGTGTATGTGTATGAGTGTGTGTATGTGTATGTGTATGGGTGTGTGTAGGTGAATGGGTGTGTATGTGTATGAGTGTGTGTATATGTATGGGTGTGTGTATGTGTATGGGTGTGTGTATGTGTATGTTTATGGGTGTGTGTATCTGTATGTGTATTGGTTTGTGTATGTGTATGAGTGTGTGTATGTGTATGGGTGTGTGTATATGTATGGGTGTGTATATGTATGGGTGTGTGTATCTGTATGTGTATATGTATGTGTATGTGTATGAGTGTGTGTATGTGTATGTGTATGTGTATGGGTGTGTGTAGGTGAATGGGTGTGTATGTGTATGAGTGTGTGTATATGTATGGGTGTGTGTATGTGTATGGGTGTGTATATGTATGGGTGTGTGTATGTGTATGGGTGTGTGTATGTATATGGTGTGTGTATCTCTACCTGTAGTAAATCTAATACAGTTTGATGTGTAATAAGTGTGTTTTTTGTGTGTGTGTGTGTGTGATACAGATCCTCTCTCGCCAGCAAAGTCTGGCTCCTCCCCTGCTGCTCAGGAACTGATGACACGGCTGGGCTTCCTACTGGGAGACGCCATCCCCACCTCATCACACACAGCCATGGAGGAAAGAAACCAGGTACACTCATACACACACAAACACACATGTACTGTGCAAATGTCAGAAACTATCCATCAATTATTTAATTTCCAGTCAAAACAGCCATTTTTCAGAAGAGTTTCCAAAGCTGGAGTTCAAAAAAATATTTAAAGATATAAAGAAAGCAACCCAACAACCTTGCACGACTGGGTAGACAAATCATTAATCAGCAATGCACTCTGGCCCTCAGTTCCTAACCGCTGACTTAAAGCTTTCATCTCAGAGAAAAAGGTGAAAATCCAGCTGCTTCAGATCTGAAAATATCCACAGGTGTTTCTGTCCATCCTTCCACTGTGAGAAGACAACTCAGCACTCTAGGTCTGAAAGGATGTGTAGCTGTCAAGAAGACCTTACTGAGAGAAGGAAATAGACAAAAAAGAACTTGTTCAAATGAAACAAAGAAGCTGCTGGTGTTCTCAGAACAGGAGTCCAGATCCCAACACAAATACAACCACCTTCTAAGATTGAACTTTGGAGGTGAGGTAGAATATCCCTGCAGAATTATAAAACTGAAAATACTAATAAATTTATATTATATTTAGTTGTTGAGGCCTTTGTGTTGGTTTCTGTTAAATGTATATTTTCTATTTTTTTTCCTGATGCAGTAAATGAAAACCTTAATGGCCATTTTGACTGTAAATGAAATAAATGAAAGATGGTGTTTGACTCATAGAACAAAAATGCAAAGGAATAGCAATTAAAGAAATAACATTTATATAATAAGAAGAACAAAAATAACTCAATCTCTCTCTGCAACTCAGTCTGTAGCATATGGTTGAGTACCATGAATAATAATTTGACACATTTTGCTGCACTTAGAAAAATTCAGAAAATGTATTGACTCAAAGCAAACAAATAACAGAAGCCAATGGACGTGTTTAAGTGAAATTGTTCTTTTATCATTTGGGTGGGCAATATGACAATGTTTATCATTATTATGATCACATTACATCAAGTTATACAACAGTTAGTTCCCATGACACAATCTGAAGTGTTTTACCCTTTTTTAACAATAACAGTTTGTGCTCAGTCCACTGATGAATGGGACAGCAGGCCTACATCAAACCTGTTGTTGCCCCTAAACAGCTGTGACAGTGGAAAACTTAAAGAAACTAGCATTAGCCAAAAACGAACAGATTACAGTTCACTAAACAGGAGGGGCTGTGAAATGCATTACAGACTAGCTGGAACAAAGCGACGTTCAGGTTCAACTGAGCTGAACCTGATATTATGACAGTTTTATGAGTTTTATCTGTAACATGAAAGGCTGCTACTTTTTTGCATTTGATACGGTGTTCAGGGCTTCTTTGCTTTATTTTTTTCTTTATTTTGCAGCACTTTTGTATAAACAGAGTAAAACACTCAAGGTCGTGTGTTATCGCGAATAACATTATAGCTGTGAGTACATTTCGCAGATATCGTCAGTACTTAAAGAACATTGATCAATTGCGTAGCGCTGTTGCTTCAGCAAGAGGGGCCTGGGTTCGGTTCCCCGGCCGGGCTACCAGGGTCCTTTCTGTGTGGAATGTGCATGTTCTTCCCGTGTGTGTGTGTGTATGTGTGTGTGTGTGTGTGTGTGTGTGTGTCTGTTTGTCTGCCTTCTGATGGACTGGTGACTTGTCCAAGGTGTTTCCTGCCTTCCACCCAATGACTGCTAGGATAAGCTCTAGCACCACCGCAACCCAGGATAGGATAAGCGGTTTAGAAAATGTGTGTGTGTGAACAACTGCATGTTTCATTACTAAGAGAACATATTTAGTCCTAATTTGGTGCAGCACAGTATGAGCAAAGTTGAATAAAATCATTGTATTCGCAATTTTAGATTTTTGGCACTACCGGTTCTATTTGTCTGTTTTTGTCCATCTTATCAAACCTCAGAACTAAATACTGATGCATATTGTGTATCATAAAAAGGTTGTGAAATATTGTGATATTTTTGCCATATCGTCCATCCCTACTTCATTAAGTAAAAGGGAATGTATTGAAATGATTGTCTTTGGTACTTCATATGCGGCATATTGATTAGGTTGAAAAACACTCCTTTGACGCCTTAAGCTTCCATTCCTCATTCTCGTAATTACAGAACTAGTTTGACAGTAGTTACAGTTGAATAATTCACAGTAATGAGTGTGAAGATTAATAACGACAATAAAATGAAAATGTACTGTCTGTCTGAGAAGACAAGAAGTAACTTGTTTCTTTTGTATTCATTTGCTGTTGCTCCCTCGTCTGAGTCACTCTCTGCTGCCTGCTCTATGAAGCGTACTTCCATGTTGGTTTGGATGGGTCCAGCGTGCTGAGAGAAGGCAGGGATTTGGGCATGCAGTAGATGCTCTCCTCCAAAATTCCGATAATTCAGCGGCTCACAGGGAGAGATTTAGATGACTCTCGCTGTTCAGCACTGGATTGAATTTTACATTTTGTTTTTGTGTGTAAGATGTTTTACAGACCGGCCTTTTGTATGGATGCAGGTTGCTCTTTATTCGGGGAAACCTCTGCAAAACCTCTCAAACGTGACTGCGTCTAGCTGTACTTTCCCATGTTCGTCCCCTGATTCAGTCACATAATCAGTGTCGCACTCAGAACGTTGAGCCTGTGTGTGTGTGATTTTTGGGCAGTGTATCAGGGATCTAAACCAGTCCTAAGAGGCTTACATTGCATTTTATGGATCAATGCGCACAGAGCTAGTAGTTATTCTTGGCTGCCGGTCTCTGCTGCAAAATTTTGCCATGAATATCCATTCTGATGATTTATAGACGGATGCCTCTGCCCTGTTGAAGCCCAACTTGTTTTCTTAATTGCATGTGGTAGCTGTAGAACCAACAGCTGTCTCTCATTATGTCTGACGGCAAAAGTCCCCTGTCGAATGTAACTAAATAGTTAAATTAATACCCAGTTTACTGTACATCAGAGACTGTTTTAACACTCTGGATGATTTACATAGCGTGGGTATAATATTCATGACAGCTGATGGCAGCACACTCTGATCACATCAAAGCTCGCAGAGAAGCTACAAGCTCCTGGAATTCAGTCCAACCTCTCGTCCATTTTGCCTGTTATTTATCAGATCTTGCATCCATGATGACTCTGTTGGGACACATGTTATCATATCTGTGAGCGGTTAATGTTATATGGACAGTATAGGATTACTGCAAATTAATACAGAATGAAGTGTTAACACTGCAGTTTTTACCCATGCTAAGGGTGGACAGTTAGACAATATGGCATTATTAGCACAATAAATGAAAGCTTTTCTGAGTGTATTGTAGGTATTGCATGTTTTATTAAAAAGTAGGTATTGCATGTTTTATTAAAAAGAGACTGAGCCCCAGACGGCATGCAGTCATTTGCAAAAGTGTGGGAACCCCAGGTCAAATTACATGTTGAACTCAGAGACTAAATAGAAATTGTGCAATAAAATTAGCATTAAAAAATCCAATTATGTGGCTGTTCTCTGTAAAGGATGGGTTAACTTAAAGGAATAACTGAAATTTGCTGGGAGGTCCATGCCTGAATCCCCTCCTTCTTTCAATCCAACACCCTACAAATTCCTATCTGTATCTTCTATTTTCCGTGACAACGTTTTCGCAGTCCCCACCACCACCCCGTCTCATCCCTGTTCCTCAGTCCTATTTCAGTCTTACCACAGTTTAAAAAAGAATAGGTCCAGCTGGGGTAGGTCCTTCTAGCCCCAAACAGAAGCTGCCCAGAACTTCAGCCCAAGTTCTCAGAGTTCTCTCCCCTCCCTCAGTCAGCCTCCTCTCCCATATATACTCCCACCATATGTTAAAGGCACAGTGCGAACTTCACTCAACAAAACATGTAATTTAACTTGGGGAGCATTCAAACTTTGGCATACGACTGTAGCTGTCTAACCTTTTACCCACTGATGCCCAGAGAGTATAACTGATATTGTTTGACTGGATGTAGTGATGCCGCTACGTAAAACAGTGGTCCTTATTCATCAAGGTTATGTACAGTGACATCAGACAGTAAAATCACAGCAAATTTCAGCAACCAGTTTCAATATTCATTTCATCTTTGGCATATATGTACAATACAAAATATTTTAACAAACTGCAAAATGCTTGATTATTAAATAATTATAAGAGGGCAAAATTTCAGGCATTTCATTCGAAAAGAGAGCAGTGGACGGGAGCTTGTTCCACCAGCTCAAGCTGATTCATCAGTGCTTAAATCACTGCTAGGTCTGATATCATGTATGTGTTTCATTTTGGGCACTTGAATCTGTACTTACTTTTCCACAGTTTGGAAGAACGAGGGCCATTGTGGTCATCAAAGTAGTATTTTAAATGTTATGTAATCATTTTCTGATACATCTTCTGCAATACAAAGTATTGGGGGCAAAAGTGTGCTTGTCAAAATTGTCAGACGGAGTGCAAGCCAGTCGTTTGCCCACGTTTTACCCACTGATGCCCAGAGAGTATAACTGATATTGTTTAACTGGATGTGGTGATGCCAGTACGTAAAACTTTGAATTAAAAAAAAAAACTATGGCCAAATCACAGCAAATCTCAGCAACCAGTTTCAGTATTATGTACAATAAAAATATTTTAACAAACTGCAAAATGCTTGAATATTAACTAATTATAAGAAGGCAAATTTTCAGAGAGCAGTGGAAGAACGAGGGCCATTGTGGTCATCAAAGCAGTATTTTAAATGTTGCACTAATCATTTTCTGATACATCATTTGCGATACAAAGTAGGGGGCAAAAGTGTGCTTGTCAAAATTGTCAGACCGAGTGCGAGCCTGTCGTTAGCCCATAGATGTAACCTAAGTTAGCATGGCTGACAAGTCTTACCAAAAAGTCTACTCCAAATAAGTAGATGTGTCGTGTGCAGAGAAGATGTTATGCTTGGTAAAAAATAAACAATACCTCTTGCAAAAGAAAAATAGTTCTGTTAACTAATGATAGCATTTCGCTAGCTAGTTTGTTTTGCCTGCCTTGTTAAAGTCT